GGGTGCCCCCCCCCCCCCCCCCACTTTTTGGCTATTGGAATTGGCTAGCACGGCTGTGAACATCCTTGTGCAAGCTTCTGTGTAGACATGTGTTTTTATTTCTCTTGGTTAAAAACCTACGAGTGGAATAGCTGGATCATATGCTAATCTGCGTTTAACCTTCAGAAACCATGAAAGCAGTACATACTTTAGGGATTCAGATGATTCTGAACTAACAAATACCTAATGTAATTCTCAGTTTCTATGGAACAACTAAGTGAGTGGATTATTTTACTAAATTTTGGGTTACAGCCAAAGCCTGCTTTGTTTCATATACATTTTCTCATCAACAAAGAACAATTCTTTAAAATAATATTTTTATGAGAACCTTGGCATATTTGGTCATGTTCAATTGACAGTTTTAAAAACATTATTATACCTACAATAGAAAATGCTCACTCTAAAAGGCATGGCTTAAATTATGCTCCTATTGATAACACTGAACTAAAAATTCAAGTGCCTACAATAGACCAGAATTCCTCACCTAAGACTTTTGTGTACATAAGAATTACTGGAACAACGTGTTAAAAAGTCAAATTCTACGCTTCCTTCCTAAGAGATTATGATTCAGGAGGTCAGGAGTGGGGCCTAGGTCTGTATTTATAATAACCTTCCCCCTACCCTTCCCAAACACACACAGTGATTCTGGTACAGGCTCCAGTCAGGCCAAAGTGGTCAACTTTTGCATTTTCTTACCATTGGTGGTGCTGACGATGTCAACCTGATTTCTCGCTTCTATAGAAACATTTGCCCATTTTTTAAGCCTTGAGTCTCACTGACCTTCTAATTCCTTCTCGAACCACCTCCCTTGCAATAGTGCTTTTCCTCCTTTGTATACCTAACGTGTTTCAAGTCTGCATACACTTATTCTATGCATTTATTACCTTATATTGTTGGTTGTATGTGGTTTAACGTACATATCTTATTTCCTCAGCTAGACAGAAAGTGACCTGAAGGCAGCGAAGGACATATTCTTTCTATGGCTCCCTGCACGTAGCTGCTGAGGACACTGTTCTATGAGACCTAAAAACCCCCGTGCTGCCTTGACATCTTTGAGGCTCAGAGGACCCCAGATGTCTAACCATGAATTCCCCTGCTCTAGCCAGATACACTCCCACCCAGTGGGAAAGGCTCCCTACCCCTGCTGGTTCCCCTATAAGCTGGACCCATCTAGTCCTCAACCCAACAGCCTTCAGTTCCCTGTCAGCCCACAAAATTATTCAAACAAGCCAACCACATCCCTTGCAGCAACCAGAGGCACCTTTCTTACAAAAGCCTATTCCACAGCCTCTGCTCCTGAGCGCACCCCCAAGTGGCCCCATGTGGCAGGTGGTGCCTTCCTTCCCTGGTGGAGAGTGTACATAACTAATAAACTACTGTCATGTCATCTGTCCAGTGCCACACCTGGTATGTTCAGCCATCTCGCATTATTTAGGGTAGAAGATCCCTCCCTCACCACCAGACTGAATAGGAGGCGATCAGAACAGACATCGTAGATGCTCAGCTATATGCTGATTAGCTAAATGACTGTGGGCTTGGGACACAGATTTTAGACAACATCTTTATTTTGATCCTGTGTTTGGCACTCAAAGCACTAAAGATGGGAGTACAAAGAGGATGGAAATTAGTTGTTGGACGGTATTTCTAACTCCCAGTAACTGGGACAACAAAGGAAAATAACACAACTGTGAGTCACATTTTATTTAAAACTGAGCAATCCAGTCCCACTGAGTTGTCATGCCACATACTGTCTCCTCTTCATTGCTCTTTTTTCCAAATGGTACACTACACGACAGCTGAACACGTGTGGAAGGCTGGTATTTATGCAATATGGCTTTTCTCTGAAAATTGTAAAAATTTTGCAGGGATAGATATTTTAAATGTTCATGGAGATGTTTATACTGTTTATTATCAATTAGAGAACATGCCTGATATACTCCTTTAGAGATATCTTCAGAAATCATGAACACTAAATAGAATGAATATTTCCTCAAATAACAAGCAAAGCATAAACCGCAATTACTTGTCTCAAAAGCAGCCGGCCTTGCTGAAATCCTTACCTTTTAAGGTAGCTTTCTTGAGGACTTTCATTGCATAGAGCTGCCCAGCATCGGACCCCTTTACCTTCCTCACCAGGAACACCTTATAAAGAGAAAACACAGTATCTCAGAGTGATAAGCCTTCAAACTCAATTTTCCTTATCTGGTTTTACAATAAGCTACACAAGGAAGTTTAGAGAATTCCAATAAAGTAAATACACTGTAGGAAAATTTAAAATTTTCTCCAATATCTAGACTGCCAGGAAAATCTTTATCTAACTTACTACAACTCTGTGGTGAACACCATGACGTGTTTGTAGGAAGAAACATCTTTTTTATCTGCTCTGATTTTATTTAAAATAATTTAAAATTTGTTTATTATTTTAATTTTTATTTGACACATAGTAATTGTACGTACTTATGGGGTACAGTGTGATATTTTGATTATATAGACAATGTGTAACGATACCCATCCTCTCAAACATATCATTTCTTTATGTTGGAAACATTCAACATCTTCTCCTCTAGTTATTCAAAATATACAATAAACTATTGTTAACTCTATCACCCTACACTGCTGTAGGTCACTAGAAATTATTCCTGCTATTCAGCTGTAGTCTTGTGTCTGTTGACCAACCTCTCCCTCTTCTCCCTTCCCCCAACCCTTCTTGGCATCGAGTATCTACTGTTCTACTTTCTTCTTCTGTGAGGTCGACTTTTTTAGCTCCCACTTATGAGTGAGAACATGCAGTATTTCTCTTTCTATGCCTAACTTATTTCACTTAACATGTCCCCCAGGCTCATGTTGCTGCAAATGACAGAATTTCATTTTTTTTTAAGGCTGAGTAGTATTCCATTGTGTATATATACCACATTTTCTTTATCCCTTCACCTGCCAAAGGATACCTAGGTCGCTCCACATCTTGGCTATTATGAATAGTGCTGCACTAAACACAGGGGTGCAGATATCCCTTTGACATACTAATTTCCTTTCATTTCCTTTGGATATGTATACCCAGTATTGGAACTGGTGAATCGTATGGCCGTTCTATTTTTAGTTTTTTGAGGAACCTTCATATGGTTTTCCATAATGGCTGCACTAATTTACGTTCCCAACAATAGTGTATAAGAGTTCCCTTTACTCTACATCCTTGCCAACATTTGATCTTTGATAATAGTCATTTTAACCAGGATGAGATAGTATCTCATTGTGATTTTGATTTGCATTTCTCTGATGCTTAGTGATGTTGAACATTCTTTCATATACTTCTGGCCATTTGGATATCTTCCTTTGAGAAATGTCTATACATATTAATTGCCCATTTTTTGACTGGATTATTATTATTATTATTATTATTATTATTATTATTATTATTATTTGCTGTTGAGATGTTTAAGTTCCTTGTGTATTCTGGATATTCATCCCTCGTTTGTTGAATAGTTTGCAAATATTTTCTTCATTTCTGCAGGTTGTCTCTGTTGATGGTTTTCTGTGCAGAAGCTTTTTTTTAGTTTGATATAATCCCATTTGTCTATTTTTGCTCTTGTTCCCTGTGCTTTTGATTGAGGTCATACCTATAAAATCTTTGCCCAGCACCAATTTCCTGAAGCATTGCCCCTATTTTCTTCTAGTAGTTTCATAGTTTCAGGTCTTACATTTAAGTCTTTAATCCATTTTGAGTTGATTTTTTTTTTTTTTTTTGTATATTGTGATAGATAAGAGTCTAGATTCATTCTTCTGCAGATAGATATCCAGTTTCCTCAGCACCATTCATTAAAGAGACTGTCCTTTGCCCAATGTATGTTTTTGGCACCTTTGTCAATAATCAGTGGGCTGTAAATTCATGAATTTATTTCTGGGTTCTCTATTCTGCTCCACTGGTCTATGTGTCTGTTTTTATGCCAGTACCATGCTGTTTTGGCTAGTATAGCTTCGTAGTATATTTTGAATCAGGTGAGGTGATGCTTCTAGCTTTGTTCTTTTGCTCAGGATTGCTTTGGCTATTCAGACTCTTTTGTGGTTCCACATGAATTTTAGGATTCTTTTTCTATTTCTGTGAAGAATTTCATTGGCATTTTGATAGGGATTGCACAGAATCTGTAGAGTGCTTTCAGTAGAATGGTCATTCTGACAATATTAATTCTTCCAATGCATGAACATGGAATGTCTTTACATTTTTTGGTGTCCTCTTCAATTTCTTTCATCAGTGTTTTATAGTTTTCATTGTAGAAATCTTTTACCTCCATCGTTAAAGTTGTTCCTAGGCATTTTACATAATTAATTGATTTATTTTTGTAAATAGGATTGCTTTCTTAAGTTCTTTTTCAGCTAGCTCATTGTTGGTGTATGAAAATGGTATTGATTTTTGAATGCTGATTTTGCAATTTTGTATCCTGCAATTTTATTAAATTAGTTGATCAGTTCTAAGAGCTTTTTGGTGGAGTCTTTAGGTTTTTCTACATATGATTATGTCACCAAAGGAGGGACAATTTGACTTCCTCCTTTCCAATTTAGATGCCCTTTATTTCTTTCTTTTGCCTAATTGCTCTGGCTAGGATTTTCAGTACAATGTTGAATAAGAGTAGTAGAAATGGGCATCCTTATTTTCTTCTAGATCTTAAGTGAAAAGCTTTCAATTTTCCCCATTTAGTATGATGTTAGCTGTGGGTTTGCCGTATGTGACCTTTATTATTCCTTCTATACTTACTTTGTTGAAAGTTTTTATCATGAAGCACTGTTGAATTTTATCAGATGCTTTTTCTACATCTATTAATATGATCATATGGTTTTTGTACTTCATTCTATTAATGTGGTGTATCACATATATTGATTTGTGTATGTTGAGCACATCCTTGGGATAAATCTCACTTCATCACAGTGCATAATCTTTTGGATGTGCTGTTGGATTTTTTTGTACTTCATTCTATTAATGTGGTGTATCACATATATTGATTTGTGTATGTTGAGCCATCCACACATCCTTGGGATAAATCTCACTTCATCACAGTGCATAATCTTTTGGATGTGCTGTTGGATTTGGTTTGCTAATATTTTGTTGAGGATTTTTGTACCTATGTCCATCAGAAATATTGGCCTGTGGTTTTCCTTTTTTGTTGTGTCCTTCTCTGATTTTGTTATCAGGGTAATGCTAGCCTTGTAGAATGAGTTTGGAAGAATTCCCTCCCTTTCACTTTTTTGGAATAGTTTGTGAAGAATTAGTGTTAGTTCTTTTTTATAAGTCTGGTAGAATTCAGCAGTGATATCATCCAGTCCTGGGCTCATCTTTGTTGGAAGACATTTTATTACTGATTCAATTTCATTACTTGTTATTGGTCTGTTCAGGTTTTCTATTTCTTCCTGTATCAATCTGGCTAGGTTTGGAGGGCTGGCCTGTGGCTCACTTGGGAGAGTGTGGTGTTGATAACACCAAGGCCATGTGTTCAGAACCTTATATAGGGATGGCTGGTTAGCTCACCTGGGAGAGTGTGGTGCTGACAATCTTGCTAGGTTGATTTGTGTCTAGGAATTTATCCAGTTTTTCTAGGTTTTCCAACTTGTTGGCATATAGTCTTTAACGATCTTTTGTATTTCTGGATTATCTGTTGTAATGTCTCCTTTTTTCTTTCTGATTTTATTTACTTGTGTCTTCTCTATTTTTTTTTCTTAGACTATCTGATGGTTTGTCAATTTTGTTTACCCTTTCAAAAAACCAACATTTCATTTTGTTGACATTTTGGGTTTTTTTGTTTGTTTTGTCTTGTTTTTTAGTCTCAATTTCATTTATTTTTGCTCTAGTCTTTATATTTCTTTCATTCTACTACTTGGGGTTTGGTTTGTTCTTGCTTTTCTGGTTCCTTGAGGTACACTACTCAGTTGTTTATTTAAAATCTTTCTACTTTTTTGATGTAGGTGTTTATTATTATAAACTTCTGTCTTGGGACTGCTTTTGCTGTATCCATAGGTTTTGGTCATCATTTATTTTTGATACCATTAATTTTCCATTTTACATCAGAAATAATATCACTCCCTTTTTTTGAAGACCAGCTGTTTAGGAAAACAAAGAATATTCAGAAATTTTAAGGGGAATTACTAGGTTTATTTTAAATAGTCCCCTTTAAATCCATACTGTAAAGACCCCTCTGAGAGTTATTGTCAATCACAAAGGACAGACTCTGTCTGATTTTCAAGGTAAACTAGTTTCTCCTACTTGAATTTTTTGTGCGCTGATTTTAGCTGTTAGTAGCTTAAGTTTATAGATAGAATAGTTTGGGCCGGCCCGGTGGTGCACTGCTACAGTGCGCCGCTTGGGAGTGCAGCGGCACTCCCGCCGAGGGTTCGGATCCCACGTACAGACCGGCCGCTCACTGGCTGAGCGAGGTGTGGGCGCAACACCGAGGGTTGCGATCCCGTTGCCGGTCCCGGTCCGGTAAGGGCACGACACTGAGGGTTGCGATCCGTTGCCGGTCATGAAAAAAGACAAAAAGGAAAAAAAAAAAGAATAGTTTCTAGCTGGCTTTTAAATATACTCATGTGGATATTTGACAACATTTTTTGAAACAGTTTTTGATGTGTATCATAGAGGAAAACCAAAAAGAAAAGATAATTGAGAGAGGTTAAGTTAAAAGTATATTACTGAATTTTGTACAAAACTAGTTTAAAATCATACAAAAAAAGCCCTAGAGTATTAATAATACTCCACACATCTTCCATACAAATTTAGAAAAGAGCCCTTGATTTTCCTAAAAGTATTTTCCAATATATGCAAAAACCTGCTTGCATGATAGAGATTATATGAGCAAATTAAGTTAACAGTAGGCAGAGGAGCTGCCTGTGTGATGTGAATTGAGGGGTGCCGTTGACCTACCCTTTCCTAAAATGCTTTCCTTACAAGTCTCATAAAGCCAGAAAGACTGGCCATTATAAATACATCTGGGGTTTTCTAGCTTAACATAAACCCCCCATGGCCCCAGGTTGCTAAAGGCACAGGCCATTGTGAGCCCTGCACACCCGTGTGAGTCAGTGTGAGGGGCTGCAGTCTCATTTGCCATAGACACACAAATGTGACATGTAAGTATTTGTTTTTTCAGCTCTCAACCATGGAC